CATGTGCTACGCATGTGCATGCATTCTTTTTGAAAATAGTAGATCTCTTCCTTTATGTGAGTAAAATCATAATCTTGCATCTTCTCCTTTTTCCCTAATCTTGATTTCCTAACAACCATCGCCAACAAAAAAAGTTATCACAGCTAGCTCTTGCATCATTTCATCAGTAAAAAAACTTTAAAAAGTCAATTACCCTCTTCCCCCCTGTTTCTCCATTTCTAATTCTAATACACTTGCATAATGCATGCACGGAAAATGCTTTAAATCATTCTTGATTCTCCTCTCATTAGCCAAACAGACCCCAACAATACATATTCTAGAAGCTTAGCTAGCTAGCTATCTCTTGTGATTACAACGAGTAAATTTAATTAGTTGCCCGCAATGATTTTTTCTTACCACTTATGATGGAATATGGATCGATCGGTTGTGTTGTCATATTCTCAGAGAGCATGTGGGTTGTTCTTAATGGTGGTTAAAAATCAAAAGAGCTCGATCAACTCTCCAAGAGGTTTGAATTTGCCATCCACTTCATCAGCAAAGTTTATGAGAAACGGCACTAGAAATTAATTAATTAATTAAATACACTAATCATTAGTTATAATCCATATTAAGCTAGTAGCACTCATGCATCACTTTGACTAATTAGCATCGAAAACAAAAGGTAAACTACCCGCTTTGACTATTTAACCCAACATTACACATGCTTCAGTTGAGCTACCATGATCATTAGAACAAAAATCTAGTTATTTAAAGGATGTAAGTGGGGTGCAATAGCTACCCCACCGTTGCTGTGGCACGTAGAATAAGTGGGGTCATGCATCAGAAAATATTTCCCGTTATCTAGCTTATGTCGAAAATTCTTTAAACTTTCCACATGTTAAGTGTATCCAAGTGAATTAGTTTTAGTTTATGTCTTGAGTGACCTTAATGGGGCTATTAATATTTGAAAATGTTTGAATACGTTCAAAATCTCAATTGAACCGGCCTTTCAGGCATAACGGTTCATCCCAAAATATTAAGTGTTTGGGTGTAATTGATGAAAATTTAGATTCTTACCGACGACTTGAAAACAAATATTTTCATTTTCAAATTTTTCCATGTTCAAAAATTAAAAAAAAAATCTCAATTATAAAAATTTCATACTTGTAATATGGAGGTTTTATTCTTATTCTAAGATTAGGGTATCAATCATTCATTGATGATTCCGATTATTCGATTTGTATTATTTTCCATTTCTCCTGACAGATTTGGGGTCAATGTTCACCCTTTGTGTTATCTTCTTTTGTAATTTCATTTAAGCAAGTAGGCTGGGCCCTTTTACCAAAAACAAGTGGGCTTGGCCCAATTTAATTTGATGGTATGAATGCTAATACTCCAACTAGTTGGACCTAAACCTGGATGGGCCTGCATGCAGCCCATTTTTTAAACTCGTCAACTCTCACGGGACAATAGAGCAATGCTGGGGGCACTCGCTTTTCGCACTCTCCGGTAAACACTTTCTCTTTTATTGGGCCACGTTATCTTCGTTCCCTATAAGTTGCGCTTGAAAGCTTTTTAAAGAAGCTTACGTGGTCCAATGAAAGGGGAAGCGTTGGCCGGAGAGTGCAAAAAGCGAGTGCCCCTAGCATTGCTCCGGGACAATATCCCTTCTCTTTAATGTACTTTTTCTTTTTTGAGCAATGCTAGGAGTACTCGCTTTCAGCACTTTCTGACCAATACTTTTCTTTTTATTGGGCCAACACTTTTTTTTTTCCTCAGAATTATTTTGCAAATAACAATTCCTACAATTTTACAAATTTTAAGATAAAAAAAAGTTAAGTACAATTTGAATTATACAATTAAAATAATTGAATAAATGACAGATACCATAATATTAAAGGTTTTTATTAAATTTAATAATTTGAGATAATTTAAAGGATAAAATAAAAAACTAAATTTAAAATTGAATTTTCTCTTTTCCTACATACTTAGAAGTTGGAACTTGACATATCAAAGTTAGAAAATTGAATCTTCTTTAGATCTGAAAATTCCCATGTAACGTATATGACCAACTCCGACTCATTAACAATTGGTTAACGCCCAAGAAATTTTCCATGAATTGTTGTTTTCATTTTGCACCCTAAAAAAACCCATGACAAATTAAGCATTAGGGGCTGAAGAAGTCAATGACATGGGCTTACATTGACTTTGGCCAACTTTCGAACCTTCCACTGCCGTCAGTTTTACTGTTCAACCATGGAGGGTGGAGACCAACTACAAAATTCAAACTTGCTGCACCGTCAGTTGGGACCACCAACAATCGGTGACGCAGATATTAATTAAAAAAAAGAAGAAAAAGACCATTTGATTAAGTATACCATTGCATTTCTGGTTGAAATAACTTTTATTTGTAAATTAGATATAGACGTGTATATTTAAGATTGTTTTGAGATATAATCTTAAATTAAAAAATATATATTAATGTTGAGAATATTTTATATATTTATTAATTTAATAAAATTTAAAATTTAAAAATTATAATTATACATATATTTCTTAATTTTTCATTTTTCATTTAAAAATTATTTTAAAATAACTTTTTAAATATTATTTTTATATAATTTTACTTATTATTTAAATAATTAATTTTTTTATTAATTTAAATTTTATAATATTAAATATATTTATTAATTTAATAATATAAAAAATAGTATAGAAAATTTTCTTTAAACCACAGCGCTTTTTATTTATTAATTATTATATGTGAAAACGTAATGAAAACATAATTACCTCGTCAACCATGGAAAGTTATTTCCTGCAGAATATTATGAGCGCCAGAAATTTTTTTAAGTAAATGATATAGCCATGTGTCCTGGTCAAAGGATCTAAAGGTGAGTTGTCAGAGTCATAACTTTGAATGGCTCTGATATACGGCAACAGAGAATCAGGCGCAAAAAAACGAGGGTGGGGTGTTTGTCCGCAAAGAAAGAAATAAAATAGTGGGCGGGGCGTACATTCAGAGCAAATGCAGAATGCGTGACCAGCACCGGCAATCAGGCGTGGCGATTGGGAAGAGGACACGCTGCACGCACCCCCATTTGACGGGGCCAAATTCATGCCTTATATCTTCTCTACTCAAAACCGGTTAGCCTCCTCAATACACAACTGTCGATCTCTCTGTTCAGGTATCTTCCGGCGACGATTGGTTTTTTTTCTTTCCCCGCTTGCCGTAATGGGGCAGTCCCCTTCCGTTTACCTTGACCGGGATCACTACACCAGCGATCGGTTCAGCTATATGTCGTCTCCGGCAAACGTTTCCAGCGATTCAGGAGAACTCGCCAAGGAAGTCGCCGTGAATCTCGATTATACTGAAGAGATTCCCGATGAGTGCTTGGCGTACATTTTTCAGTTCCTGGGTACAGGCGACCGCAAACGGTGCTCGCTCGTGTGCAAGCGGTGGCTGCGTGTGGATGGCCAGAGCCGCTACCGGCTTTCGCTTAATGCGCAATCGGAGATCGTCGGTTCACTGCCTTCTATCTTCACTCGCTTCGATTCCGTCACCAAACTTGCGCTTCGGTGCGAACGCAAATCGATTAGCGTAAACGACGACGCTTTGGTGCTGATCTCAACTCGTTGCCGAAACCTTGGCCGCCTCAAGCTCCGCGGATGCCGTGAAATCACAGATTGCGGCATGGCCAGGTTCGCCGAAAACTGTAAAAACTTGAAGAAGCTGTCTTGCGGTTCATGTATGTTTGGCGCCAAAGCATTGAATGCGGTTCTCAATAATTGTGCCAATCTCGAGGAGCTGTCTGTGAAGCGGCTCAGGGGAATACAAGAAGGAGCCGAGGCGATCGAGCCTGGAGCGGCGGCCTCGTCTCTGCAATCAATTTGCTTGAAGGAGCTCATTAACGCTCAGCCTTTTGAATCACTTGTGGTTGGGTCGAAGAAGCTTAAAAGTTTGATAATCATTCGTTGTTTGGGTGATTGGAATAGGGTGCTTGAAATGATAGGGAAACAAAATGGAAGTAGTAATTCCCTGATGGAAATTCACCTTGAGAGGCTTCAAGTGAGTGATTTAGGACTCACAGCAATATCTAAATGCCCGAATATTGAGAATTTGCATGTTGTGAAAACTCCAGATTGTACAAATTTTGGGATTGTTTCTGTGATGGAGCATTGTAGGCTTTTGAAGAAGCTGCACATTGATGGATGGAGGATGAATAGGATTGGAGATGAGAGTTTGATTGCTGTAGCCAAACACTGTTCTAATTTGCAGGAACTTGTTTTGATTGGTGTTAATGCCACACTAGAAGGTTTGAGAGCAATAGCTGGCAATTGCTTGAAATTGGAAAGGTTAGCCCTTTGCGGGAGTGCAACCATTGGTGATCCGGAGCTTTTATGTATTGCTGCAAAATGTGTGTCCTTGAAGAAGCTTTGCGTCAAGGGATGCCCTATCTCAGATATTGGGATTGCAGCACTTGCTTGGGGCTGTCCCAATTTGGTAAAGATTAAGGTGAAGAAATGTATAAGAGTGAGTAGTGGAATTGGAGAGTGGTTGCGTGAACGCAGGGGGTCAGTGGTTGTAAACATGGATGCTTCTGACATTGATAGTGGCTTTGATGCCAGTGGCAGTGATGGTGGAGCTCATGAAAGTGGAACGGAGTTTCCGCAGGTGGTTAGCCAAGTAAATGGTGCAGTTGCTTCAACTAGCAATAATGGTAGATTAGCATCGCTTAGGACAAAATTTGCATTTCTTGCTGGTAGGAATCTAGTGGCATGCCCATTCAGAAGGTGCTCAAATGGAGAAGATAGTTCTAGTCGCAACTTGTGAATGATTGTGAGAGTTTGAAAAATAAGTCTTGCTCTCACCACGTCTCATTATCTTTTGATTTTATAGGATAAATTATTTCCATCTTCCATTCTAGTTTTTGCATATTCATTCTGCGATTTTCTTGGAACTTTGTAGATCCCTGAAAGAAATACACCAGAAAAGAATTGGGTTAAGGGCTTGTTATTGTTACTTGAATCAGTTGAGTTTGTTCACATTCGTTTTTATTCCTTCATTCTTTGTTCATCAGCGTGATACATGAGATTGTCAATTGTGTTTATCTGATACTTCTCTGTTCCTATTTTGTGATTTTATTTAGCTTCTTTGTCAATATATCTCTGTTTCATTTGGCAAGGCTTATTAATGGTAATTGAAGCTATCAATGCTTCACAAATAGAAGCTTTTGCCCCAATAAATGTAACAATGTAACATGCAAATCGGTTGCAGTTAGTGACTAAACAGTTTGAGGATTCATACCTTGACATCCTATGGAAGGTTGCTTTCATGTGTTTGTGTGTGTGCGATGAATAAAAACAAGGCTGTTTTCCAGCGGCATCAAGTGTCTCCGAGAGTGCTGGTTGTTCAAGCCCAATAAGTGTTTCAGGAATATCAACGAGTGCATGGTATGGATCCAATATTTCATCCTGTGGTTGACATCTTTCATCCTATGTGGATCACTTTGTGTCCTCCACCACCCTCCTTCGTTAAATTCACAGTATGGACACCGCCTACTGCTGGATCTTCTGGTCTTGCTGTAATTGCGGAGATGAAACATGTACTCTAGTGTATGGTGTAACTTGTAAACAATTGGTTTCTTCAGCACTGGCTAGAGAAGCTGTTGCTATGCGTTTGGCCGTAGCAATGGCTCTTACCAGGGCGATTGCAGCGTGCCAACTTTGAGTCTAATAATCAAGAAATTAGTCAAGGTTTTGAATCATGAGTTAGTCACAGTAAAAAGCAATTTTTATTTTTTTACTCATTCTAATTATTCAGTTATATATTATATAATTTAATCTCAAAATTTTTTATTTTAAATGAGAAAATTATTATTTAATTATTTAAATTATTAACAAAAAATATCTTTATTTTGTAAGACGGATGCCCTTCTTAATGAGTCTGTTGTGTGTAATCGAAATTCGAAACCTTTTTTCAGGGATAATTTACTTGTAAATCGAAACAACCAATAAAGAAACAAATCAATTCAATGTGGTTCGATTATGGGGTTTGGTTGATTGTATAGAACAGTGCAGTCAATTAACCGTTATAAAAGTCATAATAAAAATTGGGCGGGTGATTGATTCGGGTAAATTCACCGGGTTAATGGATATCTAGCAAATCCATTTGCAGAAGCGAAAAAATCCCTAATAATTTCCCAAACCCTTGCTCATCTCCCTCTCTTTCCAGAATCCGCAATGGGCGAGAAGCTCGCCATTGCAGAGAAAAAGGTAATCATTATCCTCTTTCTCCTTCTTGAATTGGATTCCATGTTCACATATCAACAGCTGACACTTAAGATGTGGAGCAGGTTCTGGTTGAACTCGTGAAGTTAGCCCAAAAGAGAGGACTTAAAGGTAACAAGGGAAGCTGGAAGGAGTTCTTGGACACTCACGACAGAAAGCTCGCGTATAGCTTGAGTGACCCATCAAAGAGAACCATTCAAATTTTGGTATCTTTTCTCAGGACATTTGATTCAGAACAATGGATGGTATCTTCTTCTCTGAATTATGTGCCTTCTTTGGTTATTCCTTGATATATATCACATTTTTAATATTGGGGCCCTCCCCCCATCCGAGTGTCTTTGTTTTACACTTCGGAACAGTCCGAATTGTTTTCATTTTATCAATCTGGGTAAATTTTATTTCTTTACTTGGTCGCAGATTTTTGATAGATTCCTGCAATCTCAATCAAACCGCCAGCTTGTGGACCAGTTTAGAAAGGAATCTCCAGATAGTGAATCCCCTGAGCAGGTATATAAGGTTCCCTCTTTAGTTATTTGTTTGTTTTCTTCTGAGTATTGACCGTGCCAATATCATGTTTTGTGGTCTCTTACTTTTGTCATAAGGCAATCTTTTTTGTGGGATTCTTTGGTTTTTAAGGGTTCTGTTGTAATCCTTGTTAATTGGTTTTGGTGGCGGTGCAGAGGTTGGTACGCTTAACCGTGGAGCATCCACTCTACCCTCTAGATTATACATTCCCTTCACTCGAGGGGGTTTGTTGTAAAATTCTCTGCTCAGTTTAGCGTTCATGGTATTTGTTCCTGTATCTCCAAAATTGTTATGTTGTCCGTGAATGAGCATGGGGTTGGGTTATTACTGAGCTCCCTGAAAAGTCTGAGGTGTTGAGGTCAAATGAAATGCTTGCTGTTGATTGTGAGATGGTTCTTTGTGAAGATGGCACTGAAGGTCTAGTGAAAGTGTGTGTTGTAGATTGCAATTTAGAGGCACTAATATCAATTTAGATCTGGATGGTGTTACATGTTCATTGGCAGACATACAGGTATGATAGGATAAACATTTTGGTTTTATAGGATGCTTTCTATGTTTTTTGTCCAATTGATGTGGCAAACTTTTCAGAAACACATTAAGAAGCTATTATCCCATGGAGCTATTCTTGTGGGCCATGGTTTGAACAATGACCTTCAAGGTAAGTGGCTTACAACTACAAATTTTGGTTCATTTCATTTGAGAGTGGAACCAATTACCTTTGAACTTATTTTATAAGGTTGATATAACAACTACATCTTATTCTTGTTATTGTTATTGTGTTTTTCCTCTTTTTTTTTTTTTATTTTTTTAATTTTATTTTTTGGTTTTGCAGCATTGAAGTTAGAGCATGCTAGAGTAATTGATACCTCTTACATCTTCAAATTTCACAATGCACCTCCTCATAGAAGACCTTCCTTGAGTAATTTGTCTAAGGCAAGAACTAATAGAAGGAAAGAAGAAAAAATTGTTTCTGATCACTTGCTTGTGATTTCTGCATTTTGTTTTATTTTTATGTTTTCTTAATTCTAATTGTCTTTTTACATTCCTCTCTATCAAATCCATTGTCTTCATCAGAAAAATGTCCTGACTCCACTATATCTTTGGTTTAATTTCTTAGTGTTCTTTTGTCAGTTGAGTTTGGTACTTATTCTGGTTTGTTTGGGATGTCCTCTTTTTAGTTTTTACAGTTTGTAAAATTCCATTATTTTTTACATTGCTTCAAATCTGATCTAAAAGCTTACTTCTGCCCCGCAATCTTATGACAGTCAGTACTTGGCTATGAAGTCCGAGAGCAGGGTGCTGCACACGATTGTCTAGATGATGCATGTGCTGCAATGAAACTTGTTCTTTCTCAGCTCAAGCATGGAGATGGTATACTGTTGGTTCATCAAGACGTAAGTTTGGACAAGTATATTCTAGCTCTTTGGTTTTTTGTGTGGGATCGTTAATCATCTATCATCCTTTTTTCCCCTGGAAACTATAGGTGCCCAAAGCTGAAACGGCTAAGCTACTTCTTCACAGAATACCAATAAACATTCCCAGTGAAGAATTATACAGAATCATTCCTCAGAATGTTAAGATTGAAGTAAAGGTGACTATATCTAATTTATACCTTGTTTTCCTTTTACAATTCCCACTCCATTGACTTTGTTATGTTACAGTTGTTCATATGTTTCCTTGAGAAGGGTAAGACTCATTAGGTAATGGATACATTGAAGGCACACTTTCATTATTTATTTATTTTCAGAAAAGAGAGGGCGGCTTTATTTATCCACATGTTCTCAAATGCAAGGGAAAATGTTAATCATTAATATCTCAGCATAAAACATAAAAGAAAAAGGATCTCAACATAATGGGAGCTGGTTTAGGGTAGAACTGATCTATGCAACTTATCTAAATGCATATTATGGTAAGATTTAGGCATCAACTAGCCTGTTGTGCCCATCCATTCCAATTCACTAATATGCTGAATAATCTTTTGACAGCCATCGAAAAATCCTCAAGGAGGAAAGTATTCTGCATTTGCCATCTTTAAGACTCCTCAAGAGGCATTCCAAGTGTTTGAAGATCTGGAAGGAAGTGAAGAAAAGGTATGTATATTACACAGAAAAAATGGTTCTTCCATTTTTTTCACCGTGTTTTATCCACAAAGTAAAATCAATGAGGTTATTGTTGTGGGTTAACAAAATTTTGAGTTCTAGTAATTTAAATAAAGATTCTTGTTCTGTCATATGTTAGGATATATCCGGACTACCGCAAAAACTCGTCAAATTTCAATCCAGCAGAGGAGTAAGCGCTAGCATATACATTCGTAAAATGGCGAATGCTGATCCTTGTAGCTATATTTTGGCAAAGAAGAGAGAATTCCATGCCGAGGAGAAGTCTAATGAATCCAAGAAGCTCAAGGCAGAACAGAACCATAGTTGATTCAAGGACAAACTACAGGATGAGCTAAAGTTTGTTGATTCCATGGATAAAAGGGCAGAACTGAAAACAGTGGAGGAGCCGAGATTATCAAATCAGTGTAAAGATCTCTAAAAAGAAATTGAGAGATTGAAGCAAGAACTGAAGAAGGATCTTCAAGTCATTATGCAGGATCCCAATTTTCATGGTTTATCCTTGAGCTACAAAGGTCCATTTTTCAGTTATATTCTTGGTTAGGAATCTGGTTCGGTTTTTGCTTGTGGGGTATTTTTATATTATATTTA